AAAATTTTATTTAGTGACAGGGTCTAGATAAGTTGCCCAGGCTGACCTCAAACTCTCAACTGTTTCATCCTCCTGAGTAGCCAGGCTATAGGAGACTTAATGTCTTAAATGTCTGTCAGGACAGTCTACTAATAGGCGGAATATGTGTCCTGTAGGTCAAGTTATATACTGTGCTTTGGTTGGGGCAAGTAGAACTACTTATTCCAAAACACAAATATTTCTTTTTGTTTATTTCTGTGCTGGGGATTGAACCCAGGGGTGCTTAACCCCTGGGCCACATCCTGACTTTTTAATTTTTTATTTTGAGACAGAATCTTAGTAAGTTGCTTAGGGCTTCACTAAATTGCTGACGCTGACTTTTTTTTGTGTGTGTGGAATCTCAGATAATTTATTAAAAGCCAGTTCAAATAAATGATCATAAAGTAATAAACTTTTTCATGCCCTAAAACTCGTATGAATTTGAACACAAAATGCCTATTAATTTCTTCTAAAAGAGTTCACACAATTATTAAATAATTTTTTTTTTTAAATTAGTTGTTCACAACATTACAAAGCTCCTGACGCTGACTTTGAACTTGCAATCCTCCTGCCTCAGCCTCCCAAGTGCAGGCATATGACACTGTGCCCAACTCATCTGAATGGCAGACTTTTCTACTAATACACAAATCAGTTTAGTTTGAAATACTACCATCAATTTAATTCATTTCTATTCAGTTTGATGTTTATTGAATGCTTTTGTAGGGGAAAAGAGAATTTTTCCCCCACTTGGTCCTAGGATTGAACCCAGAGGTGCTTAATCACTGAGCCACATCTCCAGCCTTTTTTATTATTATTATTATTATTTTGAAATAGGGTCTTATTAAGTTGCTTAGGGCTTTTTTAAGTTGGTGAGCTAGCTTTGAACTTGTGATCCTCCTGCCTTAGCCTTCTGAGTTGCTGGGATTACAGGTGTGTGTCACCATGCCTTGTGGGAAGAGATTTTTAAGATATTTCTTTGCTGACCCATTGCTAGGTTCATGGCTGGGGCACTTATAACCAGAGACAGATTAACAAGAGAAAAGCATACAAATTTATTTAACTTGAGTGGTATAATTTGTATTTTGAGACCCATGTGTTAAAGGCTTGGTTCCAACAATACTAAATAAATGAATCGATAATGTAGAAGGGAGAATATGATAACTACCACAGGCATAAACCAAATGCAAATGAGAAATGAAAACAAAGAGTTAATCCATCTTAAAAATGGGGTGAACTGGGGATTGAACCCAGGAACATTTTACTACTGAGATATTATTTAAAATTTTTATTTTGAGCCCTTTATTTTATTTTGATACAGGATCTCACTTAGTTGCTGAAGGTCTCATTAAGTTCAAGACTGGCTTCAAACTTGTGATCCTACTGCCTCATCTTCCCAAGTAGCTGGTATATAAGCATGTGCCACTGTACTAGGCTAATCTATCTAAATAAAAGAAGTGCTGTTTTAATATTGTATTCAGTGATGGTAGGAATTTTGATAGAGAAAGATGGGGGTTCCCAGTTAAAGAATTTTAGGCTTGTGAAAAGGTAAAGGTAGAAAAGAAATAGATGGTAGAAATTGAAGACCTTAGGAGTTTTAGAGATTTATGCAGTGTGGGCTGACTCTGCTAATTGTATTGCTTTTCTGCCCTCTGCTGATCAAAACAGGGAAGAGCAAGCTGGATGTGCGGGCCTGAGCCTGGAGGCCCAGGAATGCTAGAGTACAGGAATTTCAGGACAGTCTGGGCAGCACAGGGAGAATAACTCATCTCAAAAAACAAAATAGAGGGGGTGTAACTTAGTTGTAGAGCACTTAACTAGCATGTCTGAAGCCTTGGGTTCTTTCCTCAGTACCACAAAGCAAAACATAAAACAAATAAGGTAGAACAAATCTATTAAAACGTAAGTGGTTCATCATATCTCAGGAATCCAAGGATCTATTGGTATTCTGAGGATCTGATAAAACATATTGACTGTTCATCAGGAAATAATGCATACACTATTTTGCATATAATTTTTTAGTTGCTTCATGGAAAACTACCACT